CAATTTTCTGACACTATGTTCCATTTTTAATATTGTGAAGCAGAAAATGCCTCTGAGTAGGCCACAAGTGTTGCATAATTGCTTTGATCTGAGCTACAAGCAGAGCTATAAAAATACGTTCTGGCTACCTTAAAAGTTTTGTATTTTCTTCTTTTGTATCATGTTATCCTCACTTGAAGCTTTTCTTGCTACTGTTTTTTTTAGAAATATTAAGTGACAATATACAGTCACAGTCAAACACTTTCTTTTTTAAATAGGGTGATCTATATCTTTAAGGAATATGGAAATTACCTAACTATTACCTCACCCAATCGACAACTCCAGAATGTTTTTGTAAAGAAGGCAAAAACTCTAAAAGCTGTTTTCAGACCATCAAGAAAAGAATGCCTGGTTAACTTTATGTAACTGATAGATTGAGCAGATATTAATGAAAAGACAAAATTTACTTTGCTTTGAGATCCATACAAGATAGAGGTGAAAAAGCAATTACAGCTGGGCCATCAAGGATTGGAGGATGAGAAAAAAAATTTTTCATTTTTTGAGTCATGCTGCTCAAAGCAGTGTGTGCTCCCATGTTACATCACAGTCCCAACAGCCTGGTAGATCAAAGTGCACCTTATCTGGATCAAGATTCCAATAGAAACAAAAGTTTAAAAATGTTGTTTCACAGCTATGGTTCATGGTTAGCACTTCTTGTCTTCCTTGCTCTTTTTATAGTTTTTCTAATTCTCCTAAATACCAAGGCATTTCTAAGTTCTCAAGACTGCTTGTGTGAAATCCCACTTCCTTTGAAGATAATACAAATTAGGCCATTGATGTTTGTCACCAAAAATTCCAGATATTCATTACAGAGAAAGATTGGATGAGATAAGCTGAACAAATTGAGATTTCTTTAATTAGTTCATTCCAGAAGCTTGCCCTGTGTTGTAATTGTGAGTTGCTGTCTTTATTTCTCCTGTGTACCATGAGCCTCCATGGCAAAATAATCACATCAAATATTTAGACTTGTATGTTATCAGGGACAGGTTTTTTTTAATTCTCAGCTACTGGAGGTGGAAATCAAATATGTTTTAATGTACTCTGAGGAATTGTGCGTCCTTTTTCTCAATAACAGGTTATATGCTTATTGATAGCTAGCAACTGCAAACACTTGGCCAGGAATATTTTCTGCTATTTTGGAAAGTACCAAAATATGGAGTGGCTCGTACGGTTACTTTAGGTTTTGGTCATTGATTTAATGAAGTTTCTTCACTTTGTCCAAATCCTCACAAAAGTAGCACTAAGGCACTCTACATTCTCAGTGTCAAAAGGTCCAAAAGATGCCATATCCATAACAGCAAAATAAATTAATATATATTTATGTGTGTATAGAGTTTAAACTCATCATTTGGGTAACACTGAGTGACAGCATACAGAGGGATTATACGAATATCAGCCTCTGATTCACATTTTCGAAAAAGAAAGACACTGTGACAGCAGAATGCCTATCCAATGTCAACACTGATCATATCAATGACTGATCATACCAAGTTATTTGCATAGCTAACTCAAAATAATAAATATTCCTTTTCTTTATGCATTATGTAGTGTGAATGCGATACAACGTTAAATTTCAGGCATAAAGTACTGTAAATCTAGGGAAAGCCATCTGCACATTTCTGAACACAATATTAAATTACCCCTCCTTGCATATGGATTATTATATAATTGTTAGTTGCCTGTTCACATAATAAAAGACCCTTGCCTCATTCACTGCAAAAATGCACCTGTTCTGGTCAGAGTTCTTCAAGGAAGACTGACGTTTATAAAAATGTCCATTTATTTCAAAAATTGACTCAATATTTAAATTTTTCAGGGTTCGAAGTATAACTTCAATCTTACTTAATGCACTCTCCGAGCACTACACCAAAACAGAAGTATTCAATCCCTCCTGGAATCTGTATAATGCCAAATACCCTACTATCCATATCTCTTATAAACTTAACTAATATGTTTTTATAACATGCTATGACCTCAGGACATCTCAGTCTATCCTCAGTAACAGCCAAGAGTATCCACTATTCACTGCATTCAGTCTGAGACAATTATAATTTCGTTTTTTTTGGTTGGTTGGTTGGTTGGTTGGTTTTGTTTTGTTTTTCCAGAAAGATACATGATTCAGTCCCAATTTTGAGTACTCACCATGCTTTCAAATGAGAGGATGAATTCTCTGCTTAGCAATAAAATGAAAAATAACTAAATACCGAATCTACACTCATGAAATCATATAATTTCCCCTCTGAAGGTCCACGCTAGATATTCCTAATTGCCCTCCTGTCTCTACTATGTTTGGAAATAGCTGCCAGGTTGATCTTTTCTATCACATTTCCTAGAATTGATGTTAGGCTGACCAGTCTGTTCCTCCTTCTTGAGGACAGCACTTTCTTATTTTTTTCCCTCAATTCTCTGGAACCAAAAGTCAGGACCTTTCAAAGATAATCAAGAGCAAGTTCACAGTGATGAGGAAAACATATGGATTAATCCCTTCAGTTGCCATATGCATGCAGTGTATATCTTGTGCATTATACAAGTGTGGTCAAGTGCAGTGAAAATGCTGAAGGCTGGTCTTACTGATAAAGATCATGATGAAGCCATGGAGTACCCTGATTTATTCCTTGTCCTTTGCCCTGAGGTCCTTTCGTCTCATTTAGTGGTGGGCCCATTTTCCTGCTCTTTCTTTCAGTGCTGACAGGAGCTCTTCCCGTTGCCATCTATGTCCCCTGCTAGGCTAGGTTTGTTCTCGCTATGCATTCACGGACTGCGTTCCTGGACCACCTGGCCCTGCTTCCACATCTTGCACACTGTCTTTTATAAGGTCTGTGTTTGTCAGTAGCAAGCAGGTGCTACTCCAGACTTGTCACAGGAACCACCTCACTTGACGTGAAAGGAATTTGGCTTACTTCAGCGCTGCAAAAGTTTGGCATGTGTTTTGTAGCCCATGCAATTTACTAAAACCTATAGTAACAGTTCATGATTTCTCTATCCATTCTGCCCTTCCTAAAGAATGCAGACACAAGTCAAGAAGCATCCAGATGACACTGAGATTATACCATGATTTTTTCTCTATCCAACCCCTCTCCCCCCCATATATCATGGCAAAAAAAAAAATCTTTCTCATTAGATTTGTTTGGCAGATTTTTGAAATGAAAAATAACCTGAGGAGCCAAGATAAAGCACAAAGTAAACAAATTAAATTTACCAAACTGCATTCTATCACAAAACATCTGCATCTAGGATACATTTGTATCTCATATTTGTGACAGAACATAAAAAAATGACTTATCTGGAAAGAAGTAAGCATTGTTGGCAGCCCTGTACCAAAGATACCCCTTCACCATCATCAAAAGTACTATACTGAGTTATCTGATTCTATACAGTGTACTCCACAACACTACTGTACTAGTGAGACTTCATAGACTGATAATGCTATTCTTATGCTAGTTTTTCAGTACGCCTGATTCGTATTTGAGAAAATAGTTTACAGAATATTCCAGGTCCAGACATCAGCTACTACTAAAACAAATGTACAGAAAGAGATTTTCCTTTGCTAGATATGAATTAAAATAATGATACATTTCACAGTTTTTAGTTACTTTTGAAAGAACTAAGGTCACAGAAAGCCAGAAGCACCGGCATAAAAGAAAAATAGAAATAATTTTCCTCTGTAGTAGATAGTAGAAGGCTAATATCTTTAAAAACATGCTTTGTAGTATGGCTGATTACTTATATAATTGGAAAGGCAAACTCATAGGAATAAACACACAAACCTTTCTTCAAATTTTCTGAAGTTCTCTGATGCCACATTTCATTTCTACCATGACAGCAAGTGTAGGGAAGCACGCTAACATGAATCTTTTCCTCATTTTTTCAAAAGTGGTCAAGAGTAGAAAATTGGAACTCGCATGAAAATCATTACTGCATCTTTTGCATAATTCATTTTTAAGCCTCAAGTTAGATATAATCTGAGCCCAAAGCGCTTCAGATGATAGTTATTGTGCTATTTTAGAGTTTGTCCAAGAAGGTGCATCATGCTGTAGACTAGAGAATGGGATCAAGACACAGAAATCTAAAATGCATGGCTAGGCAGTCATGCCAACACACTGTTTCATCAGACATTCATTCAGAGAAACGTACACAAATGAAAATAAAAGTGCCTAAAGAAATTCCATTATCATATAGATACAAAAACATGTAACACCGATATTTCAGATGTGCTGATTTAAAAACAAAACTGAGCAGTTTTCTTTTAACAGTTATTGTGGACCATCAAGGCTCCTGCATTTCTGCTTCGCTTTCAATTCTGCATAACTCTATTTTGATCAATAAGTCTAGATTGGAAAAAAATTAGATTATATTGGTGAATCAGGCACCTCACTTCTGACATATTTAAAGTTTTTCTTTCCAACACCAGATGGTTGGTGTGTATTATGTAGCTTTATTGAGATGAAATTTAAAAGAACTAAAATACTCTGTATGCTTTTATTATCAAAATGCTCAGTGTGTCACCTAAAAAATCTACAAAAGGAGAGAATAAGGCTTGTCAACTGTTTCACAGTAATTACAGCTCTCATGAGATAATGCTAGGAAATTACAATATAGTTTAAAAGAATAAAATGTAAAAGACTTTTTTTTCAATCAGAAAAAAAAAAAAAATCCACCAGCAAACACTACTTGTAACATTTATGCAAGAAAGAGCTTATTTCAAATGGGTAACCATCAGTATATTAGATATGTAATCAACTATAATAAAAAAAAATTCTGCCAGTGTTTAATACTGCACATTGTCCACAATTCATACTGCGTATTTTAGCTATTTTTTTCCCATATCCTTACAGATATTCACAAGGTTTGCCAGTTCATTTAATACTGTATATTAAAATAGTATAAAGCTTCCGACACTTGCTTGAAATGCTGCCTTAGAGCTCTAGAGCCTTCAAACCAGCACATTTTAGTGTACTTACGGTCATTGCATAATGGTCCACTAAAGGAGGTCATGCTACAGTCACAACTGAATCCATCCCACTGCTGCAAGCACACTCCCTGGTTTGCACACGAATCCTCTTGGCACGTTGTGCTGGGGCCTGATGAGAACACACAAAAAAACAGACTTGCACTTTGGCTTCCAACAAACATGTTTCTCACTGGATCACATTAACAAGTTGCCAATATCTCAAACAGAATGAGCAAAGTTACCAAGGAAAAGACACATAAACTTGCTGCTTTTTTGCAGCAACAAGTAACGTTAAAAAGATATTTTTGCTTTATAATTTTACGATTAATATGTCATAAACACATAAAAATGCACAAACTGAAGCAGCATTATTTCAGGTACAGTGGAGACATTAACTTTATTGCAAGTTATTTGTTAATCTCATCTCAGACCATTAACTGGCTAAATGTTTTCTAACAATTTCAGTATTTTTTCCTGTTTCAACCAGCGAAGTCAGATGCCACAGGAAGCAAAGCACTGGGAGATGAAACTAAAGGAAAATAAAGGAAAATCCAAACAAAACAAAACCAACTAACTAAATAAATAAAATGAAGCTACGTTTTATAATAGTTTTAATTCCAGAAATTGCTTTAAATTGTTTAGGTCTGAAATTAAGAGAAGCCTGGATTCTTTGACATGAATGTTGGCAAGTACTGAGTCACATGCTTCAGGGGGATCCCATGCAGACTTGTTTTTAAGGGAAAATGAAGAAAATCAGACTACTAATGAACCGGCATGCCAAAATGTGACATACACATGAAGAACAAACTACTCTTATTTCCAGAGAACCAGAACTAGACTACTGAAATATAAAGAAATTCAGAAAGGTATGATCAAAGCACTAAAGCAGTCACTATACGAAACATACTCAAGACTGAAAGCCTTTATGCAAACTCTGCTGGAAAATGAAGGTTCATGTAGTGCATTGTTTTAGAGGTGTGAAAGACAAAATCTGAAACAAAATAACACACTTGAGTTCTGAAATGTACAGAGCATTTATTGCAGAAATCCAACTGTGCATTGGGGGTTTCAGTCTTGTTGAATACACACAGGGCTATCTACCTTGCAAATCAGCTTTCATCAATGCAACTTTGTCAGCAAAATAAAAAAGCAAAATATATTAAATGTTAGTAAGCAATATTGAAATGGCAGCAAACACAGAAAAAACATTCAGAATAAAGTGCATGCTGCTGTTAAAGAGAGGAAGAAATGCCATATAATGCAAACAAATTAATGCTAATAGCCATAAATCTTCAGGCAAGCCAAAATAAGAAAGCAGTAATTTGCCAGTATTTTACTACAAATATAATGGTTAATTGAGCTGATGACATGTAATGAAGGAAAATTAAAAGTTTTTTTTTCTTTCTTTTTCCCCTTGGATAGATATGAATGCATTAGCAGAATAAATGCATGGCTGAATCCTGACTAGCCATTTGTCATGTTCACATATACTGAATTCAAGAATAATTAGCGCTGTCATCCACTCCGGTCTTTCTTTTTTCTAGCCTTGTCTCAATGACTGGTGAATGAAGACTGAAATACAGATCATGAATTACTGATTCCTTTCAGCTCGCACACACATTTCACACCAATTTCTGACATAACAAGGAAAAATTTGATTCTGGGATTACAAAATTCTCCTAAATCATTTTGGGGAATACACATTTACATCCATTTGAAAATACCATTTCCAGTTAGGGATGACAGAGCAAATCCAGCCCTAAGATTATGTAAATCCTCTAAATTATTCTGGAGAGAAAGATCCACTTAAACCCATCTTTCACACTGCATCTTCTTCAAAGATCTCAGCGTGGGATTTTCATTTGATTTGCCATTATTTTAGTAATCAGTCAGTTCAATGGCCACTTGCTTTAAACGAGTCCCTGCTTGAGCACACCTCTCAACCAGGGCCTGAACAGTCATCACTGTGATTAAGGATGAAAGACAACGTACCCAACATCAGTGTTCAGGCAAGACTGTTAAATACTTTGTTATATTTTCTCCTATTCAAATAACAATAATATCCATAATGGATTGATTGCAGTATGCAGACATAAGACTATGATTTTCCTTTCACAGGAGCCCTGATCCCAGAAGTTTAAACATTTGGGCATTACATCACCCTTTCTTGAGCTGGGGATTATAATGACAGAATCCCATAGCTGACAAGACACATTTTTTTTCCTCACCAGATTCTGCTGCTCAGAAACTTTACAAAGATGAAGTGAAAATATCTGTAGGTGTTTAAATGTTATATATTCATGCATTTATTTACACTTTAGTTATGCAATGTTAAGTTTCCTCATCATTGCAAAAGTAGAGCAAAAGTCACAAGGACTTAAAAGTACAAAAACTGCAGGACCCTGGAGGCATATTAAAAAGTGCATGTTAAAAAACACAAATATGAAAAAATACAGATAAGATCATGGCAGAAAAGGCTATTCTGCTTCTTTTGAAATTTCTTAGCACTTTTGGTTTTATTTGTAGTAGTCATCATTCAAAAAATGCCATCAGAACTGGCTTACTGGTAAGACTTTTCTTAGAAAAAAGAAAGAGGGAGAGATATTGGAGACAGTTCAATATTGGAAAGTACTATAATATCCCCCGTAACTGGTTTATGTACTCCTACAAATTATACAAATCTATGTTATTTAGTAAAATACTGTAACACACTCGTCTCAATTGCTTACCTTTAAAATAGTTAGCTAAAATGTCAATCAAATTTATTCAGTCTTCACTGTGGACTTTTTAATAGATGGAATTTGGTCTCTCCTTTATCTCTGCCTAATGTAAGGGCTTATGGGCTATGCATATTACACAAGAAGCATTCTTTTAGTTGATGTGCACTATGTTTCACTATATATATATATATACACACATATATATATAAATTCATTTCACAACCAAGAATCTTCATATATGTTAAGAAACACTATGAAACTTACTACATAGTTATTTTCAGACAAATTGTATACATACATGCATGCAATTAGTGTATTAATTTCCAAATATATTAAAACAATTTTTTAAAATAATTTAGTATTTTCTGTAAATCTGATTAAAGTGCATTACGTACAATGGATCTGATTAAAGAAAAACAGGGTTGACACAGTGTGGTTCTGGTGTTCACCATTAACAGTCTGAAGACCTAGTTAGCATATTCTGTTTTTAGTTGTCAGAATCTATCTATTCTTTCCATTGAAAACGTGCCAACAAGATGAACTCTGTTACATGTAAATTGTATTTAATGCTTAATGATGGAGAACAGATACCCTCAGCCTGTGATTTTAATTCTGAAATGCAAACTTTACAATTTGTCACCCCAATCGTATAATGTGGGGCTGCACAAAAATATACCTAAAAAAAATACCTTAACACACTTATATAACAGTAAAGTTATTGACAAATATCAGTTTTTTAAGGACAAAGTCCTAACAGATAAAATTAAATCACGGCAACAAACATGACAGAAGAGAGTAAAAGACCTTTCACCCCTCTTTTTTTTTTTTTTTTTTTTTTTTTTTTAATGAGGGAATTCAATCTCAAAAGAATCTGAAGAATATCAAATCCAAGTGTCTCATTTTGGAGGCTATTAGCAAAGCCTCCTAAGTATTAGCAAAGGACATGCACACACTGTCTTTTGGATTGACAGTGGTAGTGACTTACACTTTTTGCTTTGAAATTAATTCTACTACTGTGTGTCATCAGCTCTTTGGACTCAACAGCTCAGGGGATTTACAGATCTTAAACGTCTCATTGCCATTTAAGAGGTAAAATTGTTCAGCTCTATGGATGAAGACACTCCTGTAGGTACACAGCAGCAGAGCGCTGGGCAGCTTGAGGCATACAAGAGACTTCTAGGAGGCAGCTAAATTTGCAAGACTTCCATATGTTTTTTTATATGTCAGAATATTTTTGTACATCTGACCCATGGTCTGCAAACAAGAGACCAACTTGGTCAAACATGGGAAGATCACCAACATGGGTCAAACAGCAGAACAATGGAGATGGAAGGGTTCACTTGCAAGGTTTATGCGAAAAAGGGTGAAAGGGGATATTTCATTCCATGGTGTTTAAGTTTTCTTTCTATTGGCAAAACTTTTGATGAGGCAGATCTCTGAGAGCCAGGCAGCACATCTGGTTTAACCATTCTGCTTGTGTCAGATGATTTTGGTGTCGGAAAAAGCTGATTCTCCACCAAAGAGAACAATATTTGAGTTGCATTTATTAAACTGCTGGTAGCTTTATTAAATTCACTGACAGCTTAGTTGTGCCATTGGTTTAAAAGGTGAACTTGCATTCTAGGCCTATGGCAATATTTCTTTGAACTACATAAAATTCATTTAAAAAATTACATAATTTCAAAAGAAGCCATGAAATGTATAATGGAATTAAAGCATACTTTGACTCTTTAAAGGGATGGTACAGGCATGGAATTCGCTCATGACATTCAGAAAGCAGAATCTAATTTTTCAAACTCACTGTAAATGAACATATATATATATATATATTTTTTTTTTTTTTTCATTCCTGAGAGAGATATAGACACTAAGGCTATATAAAAATATGCTGTGAATTTTACATATTTCTATGTTCTATCAAGAGAATTTATATTGGTAACTAAAGGAAACAGGAAAAGAACGAGCAAGTTCCACCCACACAAACTTACTGTAGGTACAGTAAATGAAAAGAGTTTGTCTGTCAGAAAGTTTGATGTGGCGAAGCTTGAGGAATCCTCTCTCAGCTCTATTTGAATAGTCTAAATTGTGTATTTGCAAATGCAACAAACTTGGTATCAAAATTGTTGAGATTCAGAACTGAAACACTAACATGTCATTTACACAACTTCTGCCCAGAGAAGAATGGTGCTTGAGAGATGAAAACATGTAGAATTGAGCAAGCCCACAAAATTCAGCACTGTGTGAGTAAAATATATATATACAGGGACAATTTAAGTTATTTCATAAAGAAAAGAAAAATGGAATTGAACGACAGGAGGAAAAAGAACTAGACTGATACCTTTGACTTACAAATACACCTCTTTCAATACTATCCTCACTTACATTCCACAATATTTCAGATGCGTCAAAATGTGAGAAAAAATGTATTTGGTTGCTACTGGCTTCAGATATGAAGATCCGTGACAGTACAGATCTCAAAGGTAAGCTAAAATAGAGTTGAGGAAAGACTGATCTTGAAGTGTCATAAATTACCCTTCAATTAATAAACACAAAAGGTCTGTTTTAAAATTGTCTTTAATTAGCTAATGCTTTAGCATTACCTACATCTACGTGTCATGAAAATACAAAAGGACTCTATTGAAGCTAATTGGTTTTGTTTCTATCATTACTTAAAACACATCATATCATAAGTAAATAAGATACATGCAAAATAACTAGGCTAATGGAGAAGGATGGAACCTACATTTAATATTTAAGAAGTTAACTCACATTCTCAGACCCATCTGTGCTGTAGGGCAGGCACAGATTTTTATCCACAACACTAATAGAAATGCAGTCTATGTTAGAAGGGTTCCAATAAATTAAGTTATTAGCAGGTAATATACAGACTGACCACATGTAGAGTTTACATACAGACAAAACTCAGAATCAGCGCAATACTTGCACTATAATATAAAAAGACATCAGCATACTCAGTACCTTCACATCCTCTTTCTATTTGCCCATTGCAGAAGAGAGCATCTGAGATTAGATCAGGGAGCCGTCCATTCAAATCAACTGATGCAAGACAGCCTTGAAAACCCTCCTTTGCATGCACCAGCTTTGGTAAGGACTTATACATTTCTTTGGCCACTCCTCCAATATATAAATCACCTGTTAAGAAGAAGGAAATATTAGCCATAGAAAAAGAAAAAAAGTGCTGTAGAATTTTTGACCTGAGTGAACTTCAAATAAAAAAAATTCTTCAAAACTTTTCTGAGACCTCAATAAACTTCCAGAGATTGCGGTATTTGCTCCTTCAAGATGTTTTCAGGATAGTGAGAAAGACGTGTTGGAGATAAGTTTTCAAGAGAAGACAAAGCACATCCTTCTTGTCATAAGGAAAGAAGAGTGAGAAGGTTTTGTAGGTGGTTAGCTAGCACAATTCATCATTAAATGATTGTCTGAATACTGCTGGAGCTCCACTCTAATACCAGTTTTTTTGTTACACTGCTTGTAACAGGTCAGAGATGCTGTTTTATTATTTAAATGCAGAAGAAAACACTGGTGGCATAGATGATGTGAGAAGATTTAGCAGGACTATATTTTCCAAATACATATCTATTCTTCATAGCTGCATGACTTAGCAGTACCTGAAAATGTTATTTATGTGCCAGCTGTCATATATAGGAAACACGTTTCTATTTCACAAATGAGGATTTTAGTATTTAGAATTTACCTTCTTCTAAAATGCATCCAACACTGACACGTCACGAATGTATTCAGGGAATGTGCACCCAGATCATTCTGACCATGAATCCAGAACATTGATGTAAAAAAGCACTCAGTGGTACACTAAGATACACCTAAGGTTCACTTATCCACAACTATCAAATTAAAAACAGAGCAAGAAGAGCAGGCTTAGAGATATATCTTATGAGAAAGTTATACATGCCACTGGTCAGCAGTAAAATGACTGATTTCCCTCTCCAAAATTTGCACCTTGTGTCAGTCATTTAGGAACGGTGCTGGTTGGATGACTTCAAAATGGCACTCTGCCCACTGAGCAAAAGGAGTTCTATTATCCAAAATGCTCATGATTGTGGACAGGTCCTATAAACTGCTCAGAACCTTGGTCAACAGGGCTGCAAGCTGGTTATTTCCTTCATTTGAGTAATTAAATAGCTTGAAGATTTACTTTGGAAGTACAGTAACACAGATGTGGGTATGCATTTCTGTTTTAAAACATTTTAGGCTGTGCCTTTCTTTCACATATTTGGCATCTCAGGTAACCAGAACACTTTTCCTCTACTCTTCAAATTAACAACAACCTACTTCCATAAGGAGTGCCTCAAGTGTCAGACTACAAGCTTCACCAGGTGCTTTCCACACCTAACATTTCCTAAAAGTTTACCATTCTTTGTAGGCAGATTTTAAAGCAACAGAACCAGCCATCATCACTACCCTATGTGGCTCATTTTAATCTGTTATGAGTAGGAACAGCAGCTAGACCTTTTCCTTGCTTGCATTTCCTTGGCGTATTCACTTGTTTGCAAGGGAGCGCAATTCAGGGCTGTTTGTAACAGCTTACAGTTTACCTGCAAGGAAATGACCTGAATCAAACAACTGCATACTACATTGAAACATTTTTATTCACTGCATACCAGCCCTTAAACTCAACTGTGAATCAATGGAGCCAAAAACCTTGAGAACGTGTGTATTATTAATCTTATAACCCATCCAAGCAAAAAATCTTAGCAATCATCATAATATACTAAGAAACCTCAAGCTTTCCCTATTCACATGGATAATTTGAAAAACAAAATAATGCTTTCCTCTAGAGCTTTAAGATATAGTATAAATCTCAGAACCGTGATGTTAGGCATAGCAGCTTAATATATGGTGATCCCCGCATTCCTACAAATAGCACATAATTCATTCACAGTAGAAAACCTTTGATATTTTTCAACCAGCTGTACTGGAAACAAGTTAAAATCTCTTGCCCCATCATAAATGTTCATCATCTTTTTCTCAGGTGAAACATTTAGAAAGTAAAGCTCTTATGGGTTTTCTGAAGTTCTATACTTTCAGTCATTGTCAGCTCAGAATATAGAAACAGTTCATCTGACCTGATTGCAACAGACTTAAAAGAGGGAAACTCCAGAAAACAATAGAAAGAAAGCTATATTTATGCTAGAGGAGTCAATTTTTTTCCCTTCTTCTCGATGCACATGCAATCTCTTCTTAAAACTCTCAACCTAACAACCATTTTTATTCTTTGAACAATTAAACCTTTAAAAGTGCAGACTTCCAAAATGTTCCCTTGCTAACTCCTAAGATCCATCCCTCAAGAAAATTCAGACTGTGAATTTTCACAGTCATTTAGCAATCATTTTGATGAATGGGAAGAAAAAGTTTATGTTACAGTGGCAGAAGACGGAGATGAACTCAGAATACTTGTTCCTGAAAATATAAAAGTGAAATACAGTCAACTAGCTATTGTATGTACAGAAGTGTAATGCACTACACTAACATACAACATACAAGCAGCCATACTGACTCTTGGATTTACAGTTTTAAAACCATATTCAACTATTTCCTACCCACTGAAACTTTCCCAGACTTAATATCAAGTATGATCTGAGTCTGCTGCTGATAGAACAAAATAATGCTTTCTTGCAGACATAACTTCTTTTAGCATTTTTTCCTATTTGCCATCACAAACATTTTGCATAGCTGCTTTTATTTGAATTAATAATTTAACACTCTTTATTTCTGTGTTCATCACATTGAAAAATTAGAGTAGTAGGAACAACACTCAGTCCATGAGAAATTCAGGTGAGACAACTACAGAAAATGTTGTAAGTGAAAATATTTAAGAATAAGTTATTTATGCAGTTTAGTTATTTCACTAAAAAGAGATGAGAGGAATCAGCAGATTATGAGTCAATTCTCAGGTTTTGCTATCTTATTCACTTCTTATGTAGTACAGCTTTACTTCTGGAGATGTCATACATTAAAGGCTTTCAGGATTAATGCCTTATTGCATATCTTGTTTCCTTTATGAATTACACACAAATTATAAAGTAAGATGCTACAGTTCATCAGATCAGTAGTGTGAGATCATGACACTATTAAAGATATCTACAGCAATACTATCATCGCTGAAAGTAGGGGGCCATTTCAGAAGGCACAACCGAAAATGCAATTCTATTTCTTTATTTTTTCAACAGTTGACCATTTTCTAGGGGTCATACTGAGAGGAATATACTGACACATTCATTATTATAGTGCTAACCATAGATTCTGGAACTACAATTTAGCTATTACCTCTTCTGTGTGTATTTTGTTCTGAAGTTCATTTTCCTTTTTAAATGTATTTCTGGGAATCAACTTTTTTTTTTTTTTTTTTTCCCCCCCATAAGCTTCCTGATTTTCATTCATTTAGAAGGTAACAAATGCATAATTAAATATGCCAAGTGGCAAATAAAGACAGAGAAGAAAAGGGCGAGGGAGAGAGCAGAATGCTCCAAAAATACCTTTGGATATCTGGAGAGCTTAGGATCTGCCAGAGAAGCTTCAAACTTCCAGAGCAGACACTCCTTAGTCTCACAACTCTTCTTATTTATATTAGAACTAGTTACATAGAGCTGTCCTGTTTTATTCAAAGGAGGAGGATCATTTTCTCTCTTTTCCGAGGCCAAAAAAATAAGTATGCTAGAGTGTTACTCACTGGCCTGTGTGCTGTGTGCTAGAGCAATCACCTGGAAGGCAACACTTTCAGAGCTTTGTGTACAAACCAGAAGAATAATACTGCTGGCCGCTTACACCATATGCTTTGGTAGAGAAGAATTCAGGGGGGTTTATTTATTGTTTACATATTTTTACAGATAATGCTGAACCTCAACGATACCTACAGGTGTTTTCCTATCTACATCCATCTCTTTTTTGACTTAGAGATGATTTGTGCATTGAGGAATGCATGAAATTAACACAGAAAAAATCTGCTTGTTAGTAAATGAATCCAGGTCTCAATGTAGTCAACACTGGAACCAGTTACAACTGGCTACGTTGCTGAGATGTCATTCTATATGCTTTCTTCCTTTCCTTATTTGTGTCCTAACCCAAGAATCCTTACAGGATATATGCTGATGAGCAAAAACTATTAATTTAAGGACTACCACTGTCTTCCAGCACTAGTGGAGAGCACATATAAAAACTGCTCAGGAAACAGTAGCTTAATCAAAGTCAAGCTGCTTTACTTTTCTGAAATTTTATGTTTTGCCATACGCAGCAGGTGCTCATTTCTTGACAGAAACAAGTCATTCAAATATGGTTCTATTTACAAATAAGAACAACAACACCAAAAACTAAAAAAATTTAAAAAAAATTAAAAAAAAATTCTGGAAGGATTTGTGGTGTGGCTTTTCCAAAATCCACGAAAACAACATCACCTACATACTTTTATATGGCACAAAAGCAGCCATATAAAATCCATCACTCGTTCCAAAAGTGGACAATTTCTCTTCTTATTCTGTTGTTTTCAATGGTACTTTCATCCATTCCCTTCATTTCTTCTCTTTCATTATAGAAATCTGTATGCCTAGTTTCTAATGCCACACTGTGCAAAATCACTACTATTTCTAGGAACAAGACTGCTTCTGCACTATACTGGGAAGAGATAGATAGCCTGGCATAACATGGTGGGCTCTGAAAGCACAACATGCATCTCTGCCATTCCTTCATATGAAAATACAAAGGAATAGCTGGCTGTGGCAAAGCTGAGGTGGCAGTCATGCTTTTCTCCAAATACACTGTTTCAAAATGATCAACTGTATAACACCTTCTTCCCCCAGGCAGTCGAAGAGGAATAAAGACTACAAAGACTGAGAAATACAATAGGGAAAGCATAATCTGGAAAGAAAAAAGCGCTCACTCTTCAAGTCCTTCACAAAGCAGATGATTTGCTGTTACAAGATCAATTCAAATTGCTTTATAATGTGTTGTTTAATTGCACAGTCAATTACCAGGTGGATCTCAATATAAGAAGGTCCCAACTTATGTTATTTTCGAGTTATTTGAAAGATGAAAGTAAATCATTCTCATGACCTGAGTACACAACCTGAGATCAGATGTTCAGAGCCCTGTCCAGCCTGACCTTAAATGTCTCCAGG